ATGCTAAGGTGCTATTTGGTTCATGAAATTGGTGATGGAAAATGGAAGTCATTGCAGAACATATCAATTCTTTTCATGTTCATTCACCACATAAAATAGATTCAAAATGGAATATGAAGGATAAAATTGTAATTCTACATTTAATTTCCCTATCCCTTCTCTCAATTCTTGTCCAATTTTAATGAATTTTAAATTTCATTCACATCTAATAATGAGAAAAAAAATTGCAAAAATTTGTTTTCTTTTGTCTTTTTCCTATTGTTTTCCTTTTCTTCGCTAAATCTTTGAACAAAACAGAGCCTAAGTTTTAATTGATGCCTTATTTTCATTGTTGAAAATATAAGTGATTTAATTATATATTTGAGTTTCAAAGAGTTTTTTTGCTTTCTTTTAAATTTAATTTTCTTCGTGTTTAGGGACTTGGAAATTCCATAGAGTTGGGTGACCTCTCATGACATCGTCCGGTTTAAGAATATTTGCAGCAATGAATTTGGGAGTAAATCAAGTGTTGCAGCTGTTGATGGTAGAAGTTATGTTGAGAATTCAAAGGTTAGTGAAAGCTTGTTGCTGATGAAATTCTACTCATTATCATCTGGTGTTGTGAGCCACCTGCTTTCTGGCTGCGATGGTGAGGAACTGGATCTCCCCTTTGAAGTAACAGATCAGGAGCTGGAAATTATTCTCTTTAGTAAAAAAACACCTTTATAGTTGGACGGTCAGGCACTGGAAAAACTACTGTTTTGACCATGAAATTATTTCAAAAGGAGCAACAGCACCATATGTCTATAGATGGATTTTATGTAGTTGAGAGCAGTGCCACTAAGGGTTCTAGCCAGATAAACGAGTTTAGTGAGTGCATTGGACAGACTAAGGGAACCGCATTTCGCCAGCTATTTGTTACAGTTAGTCCAAAATTGTGTTATGCTATCAAACAACATGTTTCGCAGCTGAAAAGGTGCGTATAATTTTCGAGTTTGGAGTTGTTGGAATACACTCTATTTTGTTAGCTTGATCATCTTTGCCTTTTTCCCATTTAAATAGTGTCAAGCCAAATGAATTAACTTTTTTCTGTATGTTCTATTCTGCTAAATGCTGGTCTATTTATTTTCTTATTGGTGGCAAGAGTGTGAACTACTGATTAGTCAATTAAAGTGGCTGTTCCAACCTATTTGGTATTGCTAACTTTGCATGATAAGATGTTATATGCTTGTCAAGACATATAGACTGATACAGACACTTGTAGAAGTCCCATAAATCATTTCTATTAGATGAAAAGCAGTCATGTATATATAGACTGATACAAACACAGGTAACGGGAGTAGAAAATAATGAGACTCACCAATCATGTGATCATTGGCTCCGGAATCCGGACCCAAGTAGGTTTTCCCGCTTTAACATGAAAAGCAGGAGTACTTGTGATGCAGCGGCGGGTAGGGGCGATTCAAAATTAAGAATAAGAACGAGATTGATAGAGAAAGGGAAGAAGAATAGAGGGACGAGAAATCAGAAGAGAAGAAGAATTCAGAAGAGAAGAATAATAGAGGGGGAAGAAATCACGATAATCTCAAAATTCAAAATCAATAATAATCATCAAAAGCTGTCTTTCACAATGTCTAAACCAACATGTAAATAGGCATTGAAGAAAAACCCTGAAATTCCTGTTACCATAAATAAAACCTTAAAATTCAATAATAATTATAAAATCAAAAGCCCTAATTCTATCTTTCTTTCCCATGTCTCAAATAGTAGGTGTGGGCCATATGGACTTCAAGCTCTCTGGCCAGGCCCAGTTCTCCATCATTCCCTCCCGGTTGAGAAGAACTCTCCTCTGGAGAGTAAATGCAAATGCATATCTTTAAAAAGTAAGAGTCAATATAATAATGTTGTCTTGCTACAATCCATGTAAAATCTGAAGCTGGAAGGTAATTGTGGACATCCCAAATACGATCAATCCAATCCACCTTATATCGCCTGATGTCATATATATATATAGCAATGCCTTCCTTTCCAAGTTCATTGAAATTATGATTTGGTGTGGCAAGCTCCATTGAAGCTCGCCACATGCTTCCTTCTTACTGGTAAACAATTCCTCTCTTGATTCTCACCTTATGCGTGAGTCTATATGGCAATATTGAATTGTTTTGACCTTCATGGTATAAAGTCAACTTGAATGTCCCATGATGCCCTAATATGATCCTTTTTTCAAATAATCAGTCACTAATCCAGTGTGGCAAGTTCTCTAGGACTCGCCACATGTCGTCTTTCCATTTGACCAAAAATAATGGAATAAACACTTTCCATTCTCATAATTTCTTCTCCTCTATAAAGGAGCCTCCACCATTGTATTGTGTATGAATTAAGAGAGAATGTAATGAAAGAGATGTAGCCCTTTGGGCTTTGCGTGTCGTGGATGTAAGCCCTAGTGAATGAACCACGTATATCCTTGTCTTCTTCGTGTTTTAATTTCTCTCTTCAACTTTTATTTTTTGCTTTGCAACACCGACCTTCTAAAGACTTCTAGAGAATTGTCTTGTAGAATTAAAATATACTCTTGTATGCATATATTAATACATGTTAGCGGCAGGATTCTTTTTCCTAATGATTGTCCTATTTATTTGTACAGCTTCGCCCATGGTGGGAATTTTTCAGCAGAAAACAGTTCAATTGATATGGATGATATGGAAGAATTTAAAGATATCCCAGATTCTTTTGTTGAAATTCCTCCTAACAAATATCCTCTTTTCATAACGTTTCATAAGTTCTTAATGATGCTTGATGGAACATTGGGTAATTCATACTTTGAAAAGATTCAATGATTTAAGGGAATTTTCTCATCGTAAAACTGGAACTTCAAGAACAATTGCATTGCAATCTTTCATAAGAATGAAGGAAGTTAACTATGATAGGTTCTGTTCATTTTACTGGCCCCATTTCAATACCAAGCTAATAAAGAAGCTTGATCCTGCTGTAGTGTTTACCGAGATAATTTCCCATATAAAAGGTGGCCTGCAGGCAGGGGGGACCCTTGATGGTAAACTTAGTCGAGAAAATTATGTTTTACTCTCTGAGGGCCGGGTGTCCACTTTGAGCAAGCAGAAGAGAGAGGTAATCTACGATATTTTTCAAGATTATGAAAAGATGAAGATGGAAAAAGGTGAATTTGATATAGATGATTTAGTAATTGATCTTCATTATCGACTACAAAAGGATAGGTTTGAGGGTGATGAAATGGATTTTGTTTATATTGATGAAGTGCAAGATCTTACCATGAGACAAATTGCTCTTTTTAAACATGTTTGCAGAAATGTTGATGAGGGCTTTGTTTTTTCGGGTGATACAGCACAAACTATTGCAAGGGGGATTGATTTTAGATTCCAAGAGATACGACTATTGTTCTACAATGAGTTCATTTCGAAATCAAGAAGTAGTGGATCTGATGGAAAAAAAGAGAAGGGACAAATATCGCAAATTTTCAATCTGACTCAAAACTTTCGTACCCATGCTGGTGTACTTAATTTAGCACAAAGCACAATTGAGCTTCTTTACCATTTCTTTCCTCAATCTATTGATGTTGTGAAAACTGAGACCAGTCTTATATATGGTGAAGCACCAATTTTACTTGAGTCTGGGAATGATGAAAGTGCAATTGCTACTATTTTTGGAAACAGTGGAAATGCTGGTGGCAGCATTGTAGGATTTGGTGCTGAGCAGGTCATATTAGTACGTGATGATCATGCTAGGAAGGAAATCTCTGACTTTGTGGGAAAGCAAGCTCTTGTTCTTACTATAGTGGAGTGCAAGGGCCTAGAGTTTCAGGTGAACCTTAACTTTAAACTATTTATTTAGTTATCTTCTGTTTCTTTAAATAGTCACTGTTACATTATTTTTTATTGAAGCAACCACCTGTAATGTGTTTGAGAGAAGCAAAGTTATAGTGGATCCCTACATGTCTTAGTGTCCACATGGTGAACAGCAGAGATAACCCTTCTGCTGCTATATTTTATATATATGATTGCGACTCTGTTTGTCAATTCATTTATTATTATTCTGGGGCTTGTGCTACTGTTCCCCTTAAATCGATGAATCTATGAAAAGAAAAAGAGAAACAAAAAATGTGTCTCTTTTAGATTATTCAATCGAATTGCTATCCGTTGGGGCTATGGTTTATTTTAAGTGTTGTTGGAGACTCTTTATACATCTCCATTAAATATTATCTTCTGTTCATTGACTCCTCTTGTAATATTATTTGTAGGATGTATTGCTGTACAACTTTTTTGGGTCATCCCCTCTGAAAAATCAGTGGAGAATAATATATGAATTTATGAAGGAACAAGAAATGCTTGATGCTACTTCTCCCAAATCATTTCCAACATTTAGTGGGACAAAACACAGTGTCTTGTGTTCTGAACTGAAGCAACTATATGTAGCTATCACTCACACAAGGCAAAGGCTACGGATTTGTGAGAACATTGACGAACTATCCAAGACTATGTTTGATTATTGGAAGACATTGTGCCTGGTCCAAGTGAAGCAACTTGATGATTCACTCGCACAGGCAATGCAAGTTGTAAGCAGCCCAGAGGAGTGGAAGTCACGGGGTATAAAGGCAGCCCAGAGGAGTGGAAGTCACGCGGTATAAAGGTATGCTTTATCTATCTTTATATCTTCACCGCTGCTACTTTCTTGTTGTCATTGCTAAAAGTCAAAATTACTCTTTCTTGTTGGTGGTGCTACTATTAATAAAAACAAAGTATGTTCCTTTAATTTTAACAACCTTTGTTTTCTTGTGTGTCAATGATTCTGCTCATACATATGATCTTTGTGTTTTTGCAGCTCTTTTGGGAAAATAACTATGAGATGGCAACAATGTGCTTTGAAAGAGCTGGAGACACAATGTGGGAGAAAAGGGCTACGGCTACTGGCCTTAAAGCATCAGCTGACCGTTTGCGTGGTTCAAATCCTGAAATGTCTTCTACTGTACTTAGGCAGGCTGCTGAAATCTTTGATTCGATTGGTAGGACCGAGTCTGCGGCAGAATGTTTTTGTGATTTGGGGGAGTATGAAAGAGCAGGTATTTGCTTTTTCCTTATTTTTATAAAAGTGATATTAATTTGAAAATATTGTTTAGGAAATTAGTTTATTATGCTCTTGCAGCTCTTCATATATCTAGTTTCTTATCTCCATTAGAAAATGAATTCTGGTTTTACTTAAATCTGTCTGAATGCTGAAAGCTTTTGTGGCATCACAAATTGGGAGTATTGTGGTGGGCAGAGGATGTGACATATCTTTTGGGAGAGGAGTATCGTAATAGAGATCTAATTTAAGATATGTGCAGTAATGCGCAAGAAGAAGATTATTAGATGGAATATTTTTTTTTAGCCGTTGGTTTTTCGTAGGAAATGATTCTCCATTTTTTTCTTTTCTTTTTTTTGTGGCTCTATCTCTCTATCTATTTTGTAATTTTTGTTTGATCTTAAGAGGATGCATTTACTTGTCTAAGTATATATGTTGTGGGATTATGTATTGTATGAAATGCCTGAAAGTTATTGCATTCAGTTGAAATTTTTTTGGGTGGTAGGATAGCACCAAGATAAGTTCACTATAGTATCATCTCATTTCATTTTTAAGGCTAGAACTTAAATCTCAGATTGAATCTCTTTAACAATTAATAACAGCTATACTGATTGCTTTTTTTCTTTTCATCTCATTCTGATGGTATTGTTATAATCTTCAAGTATCTAGTATTTGAGCAGAATTTTTAATCCATTTTTTGCTTGGAAAAGTTTGACATTCAGATTGTTACTCTTTTTGCTGCAGGTAGAATTTATTTTGAAAAATGTGGGGAATCCGAGCTGAAGAAAGCTGGTGAATGTTTTTCTCTAGCAGGATGCTATTTGCATTCAGCTGAAGTGTATGCTAAGGGCAATTATTTTTCCGAGTGCTTATCAGTTTGCACCAAAGGAAAATTATTGGACTTGGGTCTTCAATATATCCAATACTGGAAACAACATATTCCTATGAACGGTGATATGATCACAAGATGTAGTGAAATAAAAAAAAATTGAACAAGAGTTTCTGGAGAGTTGGGCACTTAACTATTTTGAGCTTAAAGATAACAATTCCAGGATGAAATTTGTTAGGACTTTTCATTCAATGGATTTGAGGCGCAATTTCTTGAAGTCTTTGGATTGCCTTGATGAGCTCTTTTTGTTGGAAGAAGAATCAGGAAACTTTTTGGAGGCTGCAGAGATTGCAAAGCTGAGAGGAGATCTTCTACTGGAAGCTGAGCTGCTAGGGAAGGCTGGACATGTCGGTGATGCATCATTGCTCATTCTCTGGTATGTGTTTTCCAACTCACTATGGATTTCTGGAAGCAAGGGTTGGCCATTGAAGCAGTTTGCGCAAAAGAAGGAACTCTTAGCAAATGCCAAATTGTTAGCAAAGAAAGAATCATATGCTTTCTCAGAATCCTATGTTTTCTATGAATCTGTTTGTACTGAGGTTAACATTTTATCGAATGAACAGAGTAAGTTGTTTGAATTGAATAACTATTTCAATGCCTCCCGACGACAGAAAAGCCTCAGGGGAGAAATTTTATCCGTTAGAAAAATTCTGGATGCTCATTTTCATTTCAATACCTTAAAGTATGCGTGGGAAGATGAATTGATAGTGGATCTGACAAATCATTCAGAAGAAAAAATTTCACAGAACCATGTGTCGGTTGAAACACTGGTTTACTTTTGGAATATGTGGAAAGAGTACGTTGTAAATACTTTCGAGTATCTTGGGTGTCTTGAAACCCAAAATGTTAGTAAATATCAAGGTTTTGGCATGCGAAGGCAGTTCAATAATCTGAATATCACTTATGTTTTGATGAACTCTGATGCCAATTGGGTGAGAGAACTTGACGACAGATCTCTCCGAAGTAGTGGAAAGTTGGTATTTGTTGATGCTCGCCAGTTTGTCTCAGCTGCCCGGACTCATTGGCATGCAGAATTACTTGCTGTTGGAATGAAGGTGTTGGTGAAGCTTGAAGCCCTCTATAAGTTCACTGCCAGGAATTCGTCATCTGTGTTTTGCCAAAGCATACGTCGCATTCGTATATTTGAGGTTACGAAGTTTCTCCTTGAGTCCAAGTTTCATGATCTCAATGTAACGACCCTAGCTGATGCCAAGAATTTTACAAAAAATTCGGCATAACCTCCCCTAAAAATAGGCCTATCACAACCTGTTTAATTGCATTTTTAACCTGTCATGGCTCAAATTCCGAATTCACGGCAATAGTAGATGATGATACACAATCAAATGACCTCAATAATACTTCAAACTAGTATTACTCTCCCCATTCATCAATAAGGTTTACATGTTATCAAATTCACATCCAAAATATCATCAAATACCTTAATTACATTACATGACAAAGTTTTTGCAAAATATACATATACACCTTCACACTTTTAGTGCTTTGCAAAAATAATGGGAGATATACAAAAGACACAAAAGTGAGCTTCTAGTATCGCTCAAGCTTGAGGTGGGTTGTCGTCCACCGGTTCTTTTCCAAGACCTGAAAAAAATGTATAAATAGTAGGGTGAGCTATATGCTCAGTAAGTGACACTTAAGACACAAATCTTGTGTCCTTGTGAATTCAAGCAAAGCATAAGCCAATGGGAGATAGGGATCATACAACGTAGGGGATCAAATACAACATACAAGTCAATTCCAAGTATAAACAATGCAATGCAATGAAATGAAATGCAATGCATGTCAATGACACTCTCCATTTTCATTCTCAAAATCATCATTTTCAAACGTTAATACAGCCCGCCCTTTGGTAACCCCGCCGCGACACGAGAGGAGGATTGGCTAGCGTCCCTGACCCTTGGTAACCCCGCGGCGTCATTATGGGGCCCAGCTAGCTCAACCACACTAGGGCGACTCCCTAGTCCCCTCTAGGCTATATTAACCTCCGGCCCGTTGGTAACCCCGCAGCGACCGGGTTTATCAAAACCATTTCACAAAAACTACCATCCCCCAAAAATTCCTCATTTTCATTTCAAGACATATTCTCCCATTTCATGCATCCCAATGACATGTCCAAGAATGTACATATAATCTCAATATCATGACAATGTGAAATTCTGGCACAATACAATTAAGCATGGTCTCATACATCACTTTCAGCAAGTTTACACATGGTAGACATAAACTCAACACATAGGCAAGCTTTTCACATAATACATCACATGTGCATAAACATACATTTCTCTAGACAACATTAAAATAATCATTAACACAATTAATCACCAAGTAAATCATGTTAGCACATAAAAGAGGTGTAATTCACAAAAAACACCACAAAGCCATCATCTATACATGCTTTTCACATAGACAAGTCATAACCCTAAGACACGAATTTTTTCTAAACATCACTTACACCTCATTGAAGCAATTAATTCTCAAATTTAGCATGTCTAGCACAACAAAAGAGCATAACTCACAATGGAACAAGAAGAGAGTGGATTAAGATGCCCTTACCTCAAGATTGCACCAAAACCCTAGAGAATGGGTCCTCAAATTCGAGCTCCAAGGAAGGTAGCAAAACTGGAATTGCTGGTACTAGAACGTAGAGCTCGTCACACTCGTCGTTTTGCCTCAAACGGCACCTAAATCCGGCAAGGATTGAGAGAGTAATCAAGGGTTAAAGCTTGAAGTGAAAAAAAAAAAAAAAAAAAGGAAAAAAGGAGCCGAGAGCAACAGTCGGGAGAAAGAGAGAGAAAAAGAACAGAGACTAACTTGGTCTCTTAATTCATTTAAAAGGGACGTGGGTCCCACCTCTCTTTTTCTAATTTCTTTTTCTCTTTCTTTTTTTTTTCTTTTAATACACACCGCACACACAGGCATATATATATAAAGGCACAAACATTACACTCTCCCCTACTTTAAAAGATTTCGTCCCCGAAATCAAGACATACCTGAGGAAGAAAACAATTCTGGATACTTGGAGCGAACCTCCTGTTCAAGCTCCCAAGTAGCTTCCTCGACTCCGTGGTGTCTCCAAAGGACTTTCACCATTGGTATCGTCTTGTTCCTCAACACCCTCTGCTGAGTGTCAAGGATCTAAACTGGTCCTTCCTCGTAGGAAACATCCTCATCAATATCTACATCTACCCAACTCAAAATGTGAAATGGATCTGGTTCGTACTTCCGTAACATCAATACATGGAAAATATTGTGGACCCTATCCAACTGTGGTGGCAAAGCAAGCCTATAGGCAACCTCTCCTACTCGGTCCAAAATCTCAAACGGTCCAATAAATCGTGGCGACAACTTGCCACTTTTCCCGAATCTCATCAATCCCTTCCGTGGAGAAACCCGTAGAAAAACGTGGTCTCCTACCTCAAAGGATAACGGTCGTCTCCGCTTATCCGCATGGCTCTTCTGTCAGCTCTGAGCTGTAAGTAACCTCTGCCTTATCAACTTAATCTTCTCAGTAGTCTCGAGTACAATGTCGGGTCCTAAGGCGGCTGTCTCACCTACCTCAGTCCAACAAACAGGAGACCTACAAGGTCTACCATACAACGCCTCAAATGGAGCCATCTGGATGCTCGCCTGATAACTGTTGTTGTAGGCAAACTCAATAAGTGGAAGGTGATCCTCCCAACTGACTCCCAAATCAAGCACACATGCCCGAAGCATGTCCTCCAAAATTTGGATAGTACGCTCCGACTGACCGTCTGTCTGTGGATGGAATGCCGTACTAAGATGCAACGTTAAACAAAACGCTGCTTAAAGTCCTTCCCAGAACTTCGAAGTGAACTTAGCATCCCTATCTGAAACAATGGTTACTAGAACTCCATGCAACCTTACAATCTCCTTCACATAAAGAACACCAAGCTTCTCTGCATCATCTGTTGCCTTAATAGGCAAAAAGTGAGCCGTCTTGGTCAATCTGTCAATGATGACCCATACGGCCTCATTGCCCCTCCTTGACCTTGGAAAACCTGTCACAAAATCCATAGCAATATGCTCCCATTTCCATTGGGTAATGGTTGCAACAAACCTGCTGGCCTCTGATGCTCGGCCTTCACCTGCTGACAGGTAAGGCATCTAGCCACAAACTGTGCAACATCATTCTTCATCCCGCTCCACCAATACTGACGTCTCAAATTGTGATACATTTTAGTACCACCTGGATGAACTGCAAAACGGGAAGTGTGAAACTCCCGTAGGACATCCTCACGACATATTGTGGGAACCACCAACAAACCCCTGAACCGTAGACCCCCATCTGCATGCAAGGCCCAATCTTTCACTGTCTCACCACTAGAGATCAAAGCGTGGATAGCATCTAAGTCCGGGTCTTGTCTCTGTGACTCAATCACTCGTACAACAAGAGTAGGCTGAGCCACAAGACTAAATAAGAATGCCGACTCACTGTAACCATCATCATCAAAATACTGTAATCCCATCTCTGCCAGATCTTTAATCATCTTCCACTTCCGAATAGCTAAACTGGCCAAAGTTCCACGAGATTTTCGGCTTAAGGCATCAGCTACAACATTTGCCTTGCCCGGATGATACTGCAAATCAAAGTTGTAATCTTCCAAGTACTCAACCCATCGTCTCTGTCTGTTGTTCAAGTCCTTTTGGGAAAAAAGGTACTTGAGACTTTTTATGATCCGAGTATACCTCGAATCTCTCACCATACAAATAATGTCTCCAACACTTCAAGGCAAACACAACTGCCGCTAACTCCAGATCATGAATAGGGTAGTTAAGCTCGTGAGTCTTCAACTGTCGAGACCCATAAGCCACTACTCTACCATCCTGCATCAACACACATCCCAACCCGTCACGTGAAGCATCACAATAGATCACATAACCCAAGCCTCGCTCAGGTATCACCAACACTGGAGCTGTAGTCAATCTCGTCTTCAACTCCTGAAAAGATGAATCACAGGCCTCATTCCAGACAAACTTGACCCCTTTCCGGGTCAAACGGGTCATAGGAGCTGCCAAACGGGAGAAATCCTTCACAAATCTCCGATAGTAACCCGCTAAACCAAGAAAACTGCGGATCTCAAACACATTCTTGGGTCGCTCCCAAGTCAAAACTGCTTCAACCTTTGATGGATCAACTGATACTCCACCTTCTGAAACAACATGCCCCAAAAACTTCACCTCTTGTAGCCAAAACTCACATTTCTCGTATTTGGCATACAATCGGTGTTCCCGCAAAATCTGTAAAACAATACTCAAATGGACCTCATGATCTTCCCGAGTCCGTGAGTACACAAAAATGTCATCCACGAAAACTACCACAAACTGATCCAAGTAATCATGAAAGACGCGGTTCATCAAGTCCATGAATGCTGCTGGCGCATTAGTCAAGCCAAAAGGCATAACAAGGAACTCATAGTGTCCATACCGTGTACGGAATGCTGTCTTCGGGATATCCTCATCCCTAACCCGCAACTGATAATAGCCAGACTTCAAGTCAATCTTCGAGAAACAACTGGCTCCCCTCAACTGATCAAATAAATCATCTATCCTTGGCAAATGATACTTGTTCTTGATGGTGGCATAATTCAACTTCCGATAATCAATGCACAACCTCAACGAACCATCTTTCTTCTTAGCAAACAAGACCGGTACGCCCCACGGTGACACACTCGGTTAGATGAAACCTTTCATCCTCAAATCATCAAGCTGCCTCTTCAATTCTTCCAATTCAACTGGTGCCATATGATACGGTGCCATAGAAATCAGCGCAGTACCATACATCAAATCAATAGTGAACTCCACTTCTCGGTGTGGAGGCAACTCTGTCAAATCCTCTGGAAAAACATCCAAGAAGTCACAAACAATCGCCGAATAAACTTCTCCCACGACATCATCTTCTTCAACTAAAAGGCTAGCTAAGAAATAATCACCATGACTTCGTCCACGAACTCCATAAAACGATGAAATGTGGGAATCACTCCGATCTCCCACGACAAAGAAACAGTCTCCCTCGGGAGTGCAAATTGTAATTCTCCCTTTGAAACAATCGATCGTGGCATGAAAGAAGGCCAACCAATCCATCCCAAGAATGACATCAAAGCTAGTCATCTCCAGGAGGATAAGGTCAAACACAAAGGTCCGCCCGGCTATCACAATGGAGCAATCCCGCATAACTCGGCTCAATGACACTGAAACCCCAACTGGCGTATCAACACATAACGCCCGATCCATGAAACTAACCTCCAAACCCGATGCAAGTGCAAATGATGATGAAATGAAAGAATGAGATGCACCAGAGTCAAACAAAACACGGGCCCAACAACCAAACACTGAAAATATACCTCGAAGAACTGACGGTCCAGAAGATGCATCGGTCTGTGCTAGTGCAAAAACACGTCCCTATGGTACCTGTGCCTGAGGACTGCCAACCTGAACACCTGACTGCTGCACTGACATAGTAGGAGTATCCCTCCTAAATGATCGTGAACCCTGTGAAGACATAGTATGCTGTGGTGGTGGTGGTCTGAAACCTGACTGAACTGTAGCCGATTGTGACGGCCTCTGCTGTGACCCTCTGCCACTAATGGTGCCTGCTCTCTAACTCGGACAATCACGAATCAAGTGACCCTGCTGGCCACACCCATAACAAGCCTTCGGAGCTGACGAAACTGAAGACGATCTCATCGGACAACTGGACTTGTAATGTCCGGGCTGCTAACACTGATAACAAACAACTGCACTCCTGTCAGATCCAGCTGGTATAGGAGTGGTAGGAGCAGATCTTGTAGACTGTTGCCCCTGAAACTGAGATGGACTGCCCCTATTCATTTTCCAAGAAGGTCCCTCTGAGGATGGCCCTGCACCCCTCTTTTGCTTCAATTGCTCTCTTCTTGCATCCTTCTCTCTATTGTCAGCCTCCAGCATCAAAGCCCTTTCCACTACTTCAGAGTAAACCTTAATAAACTGTGCCGTGATCAACGGCCTCATTCGATCATTAAGACCCGAGACAAACTTTCGAGTCTTGTTAGCTTCATCTCTCACCACTTCTGGAGCAAAACGGGAAAGTGAGGTGAACTTGTTCTCATACTCCGCCACTGACATGTTCCCTTAAATAAGATTATGAAACTGGTCTTGTAACTCCCATCTTTTGGAAAGCGGAAAGTACTTTTCATAGAACAGTTCCTTGAACCTGTCCCAGCTCATCTCTTCAATCTTGTACTGGTTGGTGATCGACTTCCACCAAACCTTGGCATCCATAGCAAACTTGTAAGTTTCTAGGATGATCTTCAAGTGATCCTCTGTCATATCCATTGAGGTCAACTGAGTTTCGACTTGATCCATGTAGTTGTCGGCTACCATTGGATCCGCACTGCCCTCAAACATTACTGGCATCAACTGAGAAAACCCCTTAATGATCTTGAGACGCTTCTGAGCTGGAGTCTCCTCAACTCGAACTGTAGGTTGTGGTACCAACTGCGGCTGAGCAACAATAGTTGCTCTCACGGCATTTTGCAACAATCGATTCAACTCTAGTGCCACAGAACCTTCACCCACTTCTACTGGTGCGGGTCTTTCAACATTCTCTCTTCTTGGGGGAACAGCTCTTGGGGGAATCAAGTCCCTAAGAAGCATGTTCTCATCAACTGGCTCCGCCGGATTGGAGCTAGAGCTCTCACCAACATCGCCCCTTGTTGGCCTAGGGCCAACTTCTCTGAGTTCCTCACGCCGTGACATCGTGCTATAAAACGAGAAAACGATTCAGAAACATGACACTAAGGTCCACTGTGGACGACTCAACAAGAATTAATACCGTACAACACTTAGCATGCAAGACTATGCAAGAAACATTTTAACATAAACAAGTAAGCAAGTAAGCACATAGGCAGTTAAGCATGCTCATTTAAATAAGATACCACATAGCAAGTAGTCAAGTAAGCAACACAAACAACATTCCATGCGACTCTATATAGGCCTCTACCCGTCATCCTAAAGGTTTTCGAACCTTTGCTCTGATACCAAATTTTGTAACGACCCTAGCTGATGCCAAGAATTTTACAAAAAATTCGGCATAACCTCCCCTAAAAATAGGCCTATCACAACCTGTTTAATTGCATTTTTAACCTGTCATGGCTCAAATTCCGAATTCACGGCAATAGTAGATGATGATACACAATCAAATGACCTCAGTAATACTTCAAACTAGTATTACTCTCCCCATTCATCAATAAGGTTTACATGTTATCAAATTCACATCCAAAATATCATCAAATACCTTAATTACATTACATGACAAAGTTTTTGCAAAATATACATATACACCTTCACACTTTTAGTGCTTTGCAAAAATAATGGGAGATATACAAAAGACACAAAAGTGAGCTTCTAGTATCGCTCAAGCTTGAGGTGGGTTGTCGTCCACCAGTTCTTTTCCAAGACCTGAAAAAAATGTATAAATAGTAGGGTGAGCTATATGCTCAGTAGGTGACACTTAAGACACAAATCTTGTGTCCTTGTGAATTCAAGCAAAGCATAGGCCAATGGGAGATAGGGATCATACAACGTAGGGGATCAAATACAACATACAAGTCAATTCCAAGTATAAACAATGCAATGCAATGAAATGAAATGCAATGCATGTCAATGACACTCCCCATTTTCATTCTCAAAACCATCACTTTCAAACGTTAATACAGCCCGCCCTTTGGTAACCCCGCCGCGACACGAGAGGAGGATTGGCTAGTGTCCCTGACCCTTGGTAACCCCGGGGCGTCATTATGGGGCCCAGCTAGCTCAACCACACTAGGGCGACTCCCTAGTCCCCTCTAGGCTATATTAACCTCCGGCTCGTTGGTAACCCCGCAGCGACCGGGTTTATCAAAACCATTTCACAAACACTATCATCTCCCAAAAATTCCTCATTTTCATTTCAAGACAAGTTCTCCCATTTCATGCATCCCAATGACATGTCCAAGAATGTACATATAATCTCAATATCATGACAATGTGAAATTTTGGCACAATACAATTAAGCATGGTCTCATTCATCACTTTCAGCAAGTTTACACATGGTGGACATAAACTCAACACATAGGCAAGCTTTTCACATAATATATCACATGTGCATAAACATACATTTCTCTAGACAACATTAAAATAATCATTAACACAATTAATCACCAAGTAAAGCATGTTAGCACATAAAAGAGGTGTAATTCACAAAAAAACACCACAAAGCCATCATCTATACATGCTTTTCACATAGACAAGTCATAACCCTAAGACACGAATTTTTTCTAAACATCACTTACACCTCATTGAAGCAATTAATTCTCAAATTTAGCATGTCTAGCACAACAAAAGAGCATAACTCACAATGGAACAAGAAGAGAGTGGATTAAGATGCCCCTACCTCAAGATTGCACCAAAACCCTAGAAAATGGGTCCTCAAATTCGAGCTCCAAGGAAGGTAGCAAAACTAGAATTGCTGGTACTAGAACGTAGAGCTCGTCACACTCATCGTTTTGCCTCAAACGGCACCTAAATCCGGCAAGGATTGAGAGAGTAATCAAGGGTTAAAGCTTGAAGTGAAAAAAAAAAAGAAAAAAGGAAAAGAGAAGGTGCCGAGAGCAGCAGTCGGGAGAAAGAGAGAGAAAAAGAACAGAGACTAACTTGGTCTTAATTCATTTAAAAGGGACGTGGGTCCCACCTCTCTTTTTCTAATTTCTTTTTCTCTTTCTTTTTTTTTTCTTTTAATAACTCAAGCACCATGATACTAGGAAATTGCAGACGTTCATTTCTTGAACTATCTACCAAATACTTCCAAAAAGTGTATCCTTTTGACTGGAGAGAATCATTGGCAGAGAATATGATTTCTCTGAGGGGAACTGAGCTTTCAAGGAAGTTGCTTGAAGAAGTTATTCGTAGGAACCTCAAAGGTAAACTGACATATGGACAAATAGGGAGGGTGGTAATGGTGTGGCTTGGATCTAAAAAGCCAGCTGATGAACTATGCGAGGAGTTTGTAAAAAGGCTTGACATGGATTCATCATGGAGGGTATTCATTGAGAATCTCAGAGGGAAAGAAGATCCAGAATCTTCACTGGGGTCACCTTCCAGCAGTTCTGTTGAGTCTCCTATTATGGTTTCTTTGGTTCACCAATTCCATAAGGCTATGGAAGATACTTTTAATGTTAATTGGAGGAATGATATTGACTATATATCACCTAGTTGTTTCTTGTATCTTGTTGATCGCCTTCTGATCTCGGTATCTTTCTTGCGGGATGGATACTTTCTCACAACAAAGTCTTCATTTATTGAGTGGCTTTGTCATCTGCAACCAAATATCAACCCCAGTGCCAATATTGTAACTGATAAGAAAGTGGGTTGGTTAGGCATATTTAGTTTTGTGGCTTCCAACCTGCAGCAATTTCTTTATAATAAGAAGGAAACGGGAGATTGGATTAAAAATTCTAACATTAATTTTAATGACTACTATGCACTGCTGGTGCTGAGACTTTGTGTTTTTTTGTGTTTACTTTCTGTGAGTTGTGGATGTTTTTTTGATTTACTCTTTACTCTGCTGGGGAAAAATGATATTACTTCAAAGCTACCAAGGGAATTCTTCACTGCCCTTCGGGAAGAAAAAAAAACTTTATGAAGTAGGTGTATTTTTTGGGGTATATGCAAGTGTTGCAGAAGCATTTAAAAAGATAGGGGACCCTCTTGTGGTAGTGAACATGGGAGGAGATTGTTCACAGTTACTTCACCCTGATGCCATTTATGTGGACATGAGAGGTATGCAATGCAAAGAGGATATCATGAGAGTGTTGTTTCCCACGAATACCAAAGCTTCCCAAGGTAAAAAGGATGCTGTTGAAGAGACTTCAAGGAATTCATGTGGCGAAAAAAATTCTCTGAACTGTGATGATCAGGGGACGAGTTATACTGTACAGTTTTGTGATTTGGCTTCCATGGAAGATCGGAGCACAAACACTAAGAATGGAAAGGAAGGCAACCTGCAAACAGATTGGGGGCTTTTTTTGGGAAATTTCTGATATTTTAAAGTCTCTGGATGATAAAAGAGAGGGAATTTTGATGAAATGTATTTTCCCGAAGACGAAGGTAATACCAAATTGGCCCTCCCATAATCAAGTGTGCGGATATATTAGTAGTATCATAACTCTCAACTTTTTTGAATTTTTTCTGTATATTTGCAGGTGCAGGTGGAGAAAAATATCAACATCTTCACTGCTGCAATGAGCTGATCTAAGAGAAAACCTTGTGATGAAAATGGAGTAGTCTTTGATGAAGTAAATAGCATGGTTGATGAACTGAAGCAGCTTTCTTCTGCTTTGGATACGAGGTTTGTCTTAGTTTTTAGCTTAAATCTTTGTTAGAGCCCTTGCATATACACATACTCGAATCCTCTCTCTTTGTTCTCGTTCTCCTTTTAAATTAATATCAAGTATAGCAACTAATTCGATGTATACTTGGTAGGATGTTCCATTGGTCATTCTCAATTCATTGAAGTATGCTGGAATCTGGTTTGTTGTTGAATTTGTTTTTCAGTGACCAAGACCTTAAGAATCACAATTCAAAAGTAGTCTTGAAACTTTTGAATAAGTTGCAGTTAAGGCGGCCGTTACTGGAGAGCTTCTTGAATCAGCTACTTGCCGTTGAATACACAAATATGAATATGAAGGCGGCTAATGTTTCCCGTGAAGCACAAAAAAATACTGAAAGAAACAAGGGGAAGGGAAACAGCAAGTCCAAGAAACGCAGAAAATGAATAGCTATGCACTGTCAAAATGTCTAGGTGGCATATATTTTCGAGTACTAAGATATGTTACTATTCTATATGTAAATGTTACAATTGTGAATTGATAGAAAATATAAACCGGTCGATTATCAATAGGTGATGGAAAGGGATTGTGCTACTCTAGATTGTAGCTTATTTTCTGTTTACCAACTTTATCAAGTTTTGGTATATGAACCTAGAAAGTAAATCGAGATCACATTGTCTGTCCCTTCAGTATCTTCTCATGAAAAGCTTTGATTCTAAAGCCTCCGTTTGTTTCCACGTAAAATATTATTTTTGGAAAGTATTTTTCTCTATTAGGTAAAATATTTTTTTATTTTTACTTTATCATTTGACAAAAGTCTAAGTCGAGATTGAGGTTGAGTCCATCGGACAGGACATGTAAAATAACTTGCCGAAATTTATGAATAAATTATTTTTGTTAAATTTTAATATATTTTTTCTTGGTAAATATTTTACAATAATCAAGTATCAGAAAATAAAATAAAAAATAAAAGTATTTTTTGAAAAATATTTTACGTCCAAACAAATGAAACCTTCATATAAACATCAATGATACACCATCATTCCAATTTTCATATATAACAACTATCTTTAAAGCAAATTAACAACATATCATCATAATTGTGTATGCTAACACAATTTACATTAAACAAACAAAAAATTAAAAATCAGGAATTTCTGTGAAGCATATTGTAAACAAGGGCAGCACCACCACCAAAAAGAGGATTAAGAAATAAACGACGACATCTTTTTTTTAGGAGTCGACAAATAATTCGTGAATCTGATCCCAACAAATCCGTGACGATTTCAAAGCAATTTGAATGGAGAAATCATAATCAAGCATATATTCAAAGCAATTTGGACGGAGCAATCATTATCAAGCATATATATATTTATTCAAAATAATTTGGATGGACCAATCATAATCAAGCATATATTCAAAGCAATTTGGACGGAGCAATCATAATCAAGCATATATTCAAAACAATTTGGACGGAGGAATCATAATCAAGCATAAATTATTTCATGGGCATATATATATTCTGTCATGGGCATATATCCACTTTTATAATTAGGTGGAGTATATATTCTTTCATGGGCATATATACACTTTATAATTGGGTTTAGACTCAGCAAAAAATTATGTAACTTGTTTTAGGTAACTTGGAGTCAACGTGGCTGAAAATTCGAATTAATACATTATATATATTTATTTGTTTGTTTATAATGATGATCAACTTTTTTTAATTTATAATTTATCTAATTCTTTTTTTCTTTTGAATTAATCATTTGAATAATTAACAAAAACAAAAAACAAAAGACAAAAAACAAAAACAAAAACAAAAACTAAATGGAGTAACAAAAACAATGACTGTTTTGTTCCCACTTTAACTTAAAAAAAAAAAAAAAAAAAAAAAGAGGTAACAAATATTGCATGCTTATACAGCTACATTGCATGGAGTAGCAACAAGGAAACAAATATGACTTCTCGGTAAAATGATCATTTTGTTCTCGCTTTAATTTAAAAAAAGAAAAAGAAAAAGAAAAGGCTCATACGAAAATGGAGTAGCAAGCAACGGGTCTGTCCGTTTGAGAGAGAGAAGAAGAGACGTGCCGTTTTGGGCAAATCTCACATGAATTGAGCGTTTTTAATATATAATGTGAGAGTGGCAAATTGAAAAGGGTAAAGTATAAAATAGGAATATCAAATAGTGGACATTTATTTTTGGGGAGAGGGAGTATGTTTTAGGGTAAATTACACTTACCTCCCTTGAGGTCACATGAATTAAGCGTTTGAAGTTTATAATTCTCACCTCTCTTAAGATTATATAAAGTCAATTATACCCTTATGTGTAATGTATTTTTATAATACAAAATATATTATAAAATCTAAAAAAATCAATTTTCTATCTCATCTCTCTTATTACTTTCTCTCTCATCTCCACCACCGTTACCCCCTCTTAAAAAAAAATATTGTAAATAAATAATGAGTGTAAGGACAACTTGGTCATTTTATGAATTTTTTTTACAAGTTTTGATGGAGAGGGGGGTTTTTGAACATACACACAAACCTCAAGAGAGATCAAAGCAATAAATCTGAAATGCTCCACTTGTGCGAGATTTGTCCAAACCTTAAGGGAGGTCAGTGTAATTTACCCTATATTTTATGTCAATTTTAATTAAAAAAAAAAAAGTGATAAGAGAGGTGTATTTGTATTTGTATTTTTTATTTGTTTTTAAATATAGACTAAAACACAATTAATTCTTCAAAAATTAAGGGTCAGTGTGCACAAAATTTATGATATTGGAGTGTTTTCCGTACTTAACCTTTCATCAAATATTCTTCCAAAACAAAATAAGAGTATTGATGACACCTGGTGTTTGGAAAACTCCATAGAGAAAAAACAACAGATAGTAATAAATCATTTTTATGTTTGGAAAAGACAGTGGGTGGAGAGAAAAAAATTACTTTATTTTGTAAATGATGAGATAGGAATTCATGGTTACTTTCTTGTGTAGGTGATGAGATAGGATTTGTGGTTACTTTATTTTGTAGGTGATGAGATAGGAATTCATGGTTAAAAAAAAGACAAAATTTTCCTTTCCTTCAAAATCCTTCTATTTCTTTTCCTCTCATTTCCCTCATTCAGACCGGACACCCATGTCCAAACACATCATTTACTTTCTTGTGATGGTAAAAACTTCCATATGTTTACTTCTACCATTTACCATTTACAATTTACCATTTACTTTCTCATTATTGATAAAACTTGCCAAGCAAGTTTGGTACTCAAACACAATTGCATGAGATTTATGATCTGTTGAGGCCAATTGCATTGGCAAAGCAGTTTTATGCCTGTTGCTGAAAATTTCTCACAAGTTCAGTTCGAATGTGATTCCCCATCTGTTTGCCAGACTATTGCAAGTGATATTTTGTTGGAGAATAATTAATTATCTCCAACCCATTTAACGGTTGACTATTAACATCATCACATGTTACGTAAGCAAAAGGTATATATATTTGTTTACAAGGAACGAGTTACTTTGAATCTACAAAACTATTGAAATATTATATATATATATATATATATATATATATATATATATGTATTATATTTTGTTTCCTTTTCCCTTCTTCAATTCCTTCCGTAATTTACTCTTTGATTTATTTTCTTTCCCTTCTTTCCTCCTTGATTTACTCCTTAATTGATTTGTTCCTTTTGTCTGCAACTTTATTCCTATATATTGTATTTCAATACAATGTAAACATATCAAGTACTACAAGCAATAAGAGAAATGTAGCCTAAGTGGCTCTTGATCCATGCATGTAGGCCTTAGTGCCGAACTATGTATATGATGTGTTCACTTTCTTTCTCTCTTCCCTCTTCCTATTTTATATCTTATATTTTCGCATCCTAAATTTAACATGGTATCAGAACAACGATCCTAGATCGTTTGCACCAAAGTTTACTTGTCTTCTATGTGTCTCCATCTGGGGCTCTGCCATTTTTTTTTTTTTTTTTTCTCCTTTCCTTTACTGATTTGCAAAAAGCAGTGAAGGAAAAGACCAGTAAAATCTAATCCGTTTCTAGTTCAAATCTCTCTTTATTTTCCTTTTTCGATCAACCACAAGCTTCCAAGCGGTGCCGACGCTCCTGCGAAGTAGATCTTACTTGTGTATCACTGCCCACGGATCTGACTCGTGCTACACGCGCCACACACTCCTGCAAGTAGATTTCACTCGCGCTGCACGCGCCCACATGCTCCTCCTTCACCAACAGTAGTCAATCCTTCGAAGCGATGACCAACTCACCATCGTTTCAGTTCATGGTCAGAGAGAGGTTGTTTTTGTTCTAGCCATTGTGAGGTGTGAGGCTTCCTTTGCTTTACTTACAGTCGCCGTTGGAGACACCTCTCATGCTGGCAACCTCATTCTTCCACCACAGCGACTATTTTCTCCTTCCTTGGTTGGTTTCCACCACCTGAAAAATTTTGGGGCAGTGTTTGCCTTATTTTACTAGGATTGTTTTTGGTGGGGTTTCTTTTTGAGTTTGTGATTTGTTGAGTAAAAAAAAAATTTGGGTAGTCTGAAAACGTGGGTGATGGGCCAAAGATATCGGCTAATCATACTTGATACAGTATTTTATTTCATATATGCATGTTTATCTAAGCATGTGTGTTACAGATCAACGTCAGAAGACCCAATGCCTAAGATGTTCACATGGCTAAATGTCTCTCGTTCTTCTGGAGTTTTTTGGCTTGTTGTTGATTACTGGCTTAGTTCTGGCCTTTTACTGGCTTTGTTCTGGATCTTTTTCATTTCTCGGATGGATCACCCGGATGTCTCCCAATGTTGCTCCGTCCCATTTCTCGGCTTTGTACCGACCCATTTCTCGGATGTTTTTCGCTCCACTACCGTTTTTAAGATTTCATCTCAAAACTCAAGTTGGCTTCGAGAAACCCATCTTGAGTTTGCGGGAGAATATTGAAATATATATTATATATATGTATTATATTCTGTTTCATTTTCCCGTCTTTCCTTCCTTGATTTACTCCTTGATTTATTTCTTTTCCCTTCTTTCCTCCTTAATTTACTACTTGATTTATTCTTTTTGTCTGCAACTTTATTCATAAATATTGTGTATCAATACAATATAAACATATCAAGTACTACAAGCAATAAGAGAAATGTAGCCTCAGTGGATCTTAATCCATGGATGTAGGCCTTAGTGTCGAACCATGTATATGTTGTGTTCTTTATCTTTCTCTCTTCCTATTTTATATTTTATATTTTTGCATCCTAAATTTAACAAAAACAAGAGATAAATTCATAAAGAATTCTTAAATATTATTGATAAAAAGATTATATTCTGCTCTTACAGTACATGAATATTTATAATAGAGAAAAGCTAACACTAGAATGAAACTAAAATCTAATCCTACAAGGAATCTAATCCTAGAAATAATCATAAAAATAAATTCTCTCTAAAAAATTCAAAAAAATAGAATAAGAAACCTAATAAATAAACTAAATCTAAAATTTTAGAGCAATCTGAGGTCGTTAAGGCCTTGAACAAAAAACTCAAAATAACTAGCA